TTAAAAAGTCGAAGAAATGTGCCTGCAACATCCTTCTATCCTCAGTATGAAAGGACACGAACGTGATGGTTTGCAAATAGAGGAAAATCTTCGCCAATCGAAACGCCATTTTTTCGCTTTGTGAAACGAGCTGCGCGGCACAGTTTAAACCGGATGTGACGTCACTTTTTGGTGGATGATCCAGATACGCGAATTTCAGGAGTCTTCTGCCCCGCCCCTGGCTGTCAGGTATAAACTCAAACTAAAAGGGTCTTCTTCGAATACAAAAAGGTCTGACGAACTGAATTTTTCCAGGTATTTGAATCTTCAATAAACGAAAATCTAGGTCTCTGAAAAAAATTTTTCCTACTTACCCAAACTTGAGGTAGACTGCAATAGGTTGCAACCGAGGTTCCTGTCATCGACCGCTACATAAACAGCGGTGGAAAGCTAACAGTAAAAATATTTACAATTGAAAATATTATTTCACCTTAGTTTTATTAGTTTTAATGCTGTAAGATCTCGAAATGGTGAAAAAAAACACGACGAAGGGAAAAGAAAAGGAAAAAGAAAAAGAAGGTCCCACCGAGATTTGAACTCGGATCGCTGGATTCAGAGTCCAGAGTGCTAACCATTACACCATGGGACCATCACATGTAAAGCTCTTGAAAAATTAACTTATTTAAACAATATACTATCCAATTAAAATGGTCGGCGGTGATACTTTCTTTGGTTTCCGTAGCATTATCAAGCGAGGCTAAATTACAGTATTTTCACAATAAGCTTATTCTTCATCTTACAATCTTTAGAGTTGCGTGTTCTCTTCCTGAAACAGACGTTACGTTCACCGGCTCGCTAATTACGCTTTTATACATCGCTAGTGACAAAAGCTTTACTTAACACGGCTTAACACCTAAGCAAATTTCTCCTCGAAAGCATCACAACTCTAAAAACACATTTGAGGACAAAGTCAAGTTCAGTATTTGATAGAACAAGGTCGAATTAATTATGGATGCTACAACTACTTCGCAAATTACTCGCAACTCGAATAGGTGACCTTCGTCATCAAATCTCGCTCGCGACACTTCCGTCCACAACTGCACTAACACGAAGAAAACATCGTCGCAAGGGAATGTTTTTATTCCATGAAAACGCTCCCAAAGGTGCTGAGAGAGCTTTTAGTAATGAATAAAACAGGAATATACTGACAAACTGACAAACTCCAATCCGCCATGTTGTTCCGTCATGTTTAGCTAAAACCGCTGACCAACCCAGGCATAGATAGATGTGGACGCTAAAGTCAACAGAACAACGAGTGACAACGAAATGAGCTGCATTGGCACATTATTTTACGCTTTTTTGCACTAATAGTGTCTCTGGTTACGCTAAAATTGATTTTCTTTCACTTCGCTGCGTCATTTTACACCGCCTGACGCTAAGTTGGGGTCTGAGTGTTTAGACAGGAAAGTTTGACTCAACAGTGGTAGAACTTTGAACAGTGGATTCGTCAGTTTGTTGTAAAGGACAGCCGCTATATTGTACTTGGCCCTTTCCAACGAATAAAAGCTAACCGCAAGCGAACATGAGTAAAACTAGTCCCAAACAACCAGTACATTTGCCGATCGCCGTTTGGCGTTCTGCGAATGCTCCAGCCGGTTTTGACAGGTGTTCAGATACGTCTGTTTCCGCAAACTTCTTCCAATGTGGAACGTAGACGCCTAATTTTCTGGACTATACTATTCGGTAGCTGACTGGTGTCATATAAGATGCACCCTCAGTCAAATCATATGAACGATAATTGCTGTTCTGTAAATACTAACGTTAAAAAAATTTAAATGGTGATCCGGGTGGGATTTGAACCCACGACCTTCCGCTAACAAGTCCGCTGCTCTACCAGTTGATCTTACATGTATTTAAATAAAGTCTACGAGTCCTCAGCTTCTACGTTCGCTATGAATGATCAACTGAAAAGTTTGAAGTGTAAATGGAGGAGCACTTAGCAAATGATCAAGGGCTAGGTTTATTGGCTCAGTTGAGTTGCGGACAGAAATACGTGAACGCGGGCTGAGCGTGTTGCTAGCAGGAAAAAGATCATATGTAAATTTTCTTCTGCTTTGAAAACAAACCTTTTGAAAGTGCTTCTTTGTTAACAATTTTTTATGATTGCGGCGTGATTGAAGGAAGTTTTGCGCGGACTAAAATGTCCTTGAGTAGTTTTTCTTTCTTGTAAGATACAATCGGTGGCTGGTTAAAGACATGTGCACGTCTAGGCTGCCGTTGAATGATATGCCAATGTTTCACGAGAATCATTCCGTGTGGCCGGGTTATAAGCGGTAACAAACGGTAAAATTTCTTTCGCCTTCTTTGTTTTGTTACGAAGAGCTTCTGTTCTGTCTGAGAACTGAACTTCAGTCAAGATTTTATGGGATAGCCTCTGTTACAGAGTCTTTGCACAAAATCTTGTTTGTATTTATTAAAATTCTCTTTGACTGAGTTGGTTCTTAAAAGACGTAATGCTTCTCCCTTGATAAAACCCTTTTTAGTATTGAACGGGTGGCAGGATGAGACGGTGCGTATACTGAAAACTTTCAGTGGACTTGAAGTGGGTTTGTGAATCGAGAATTTTAAGAGTTGAAAGGCGAGGTCCTTTGAATACCTCTTTGTCGAGAAAAACAGCGCGTTCGGATGACATTTCACAAGTAAATTGAATCGTAGGGTGGAACGAGTTAGCGAAGTTAACAAAAATGGAAACTTTTCCCATTGGAATGTTCCACAAAGAAAATATGTCATCGATAAACGTCTTCCAAACAAAGGGTTTCAGTTGGCTAGCCGCTAGCAGTCGTTTTTCAAGGTCCGACGTGAAAATAACGGAGAAAGTGACCGCCATTTTAGTTCCCATAGCAATGCTGTGAGTTTGTACGAAGTGTTTGTCATTAAACTTAAAGGAGTTTTCTTCAAGTATGAGCCGCATTAGTTTCCGTAAATCTTACACGCAAGGGGTAAATATGCAAGGATGTTTGACGCCATTCTTATTCCAGGGCATTCAGTTACTAGCTTTAGAGGCGTCAAGCCTAAGGCGAGAGTCGACGAGTGGCACTGGTGAGTAGGGTTAAGACTCCAGTGTGGTCTCCAGGAAAGACTGGTGCGAATAACTCGTTCAGTCACTCTGCCTTGATTGTTGCCTCCATGCAAAATAAATTCTCATTGCTTTTTTGTTTCGTTTCTTCAGAAACGAGAAGGTGTTTTTGTAGCTTCAGTGGAAAACTATTTATTTTTGAAATAGCACCTCGTTATCTTTTTCGCTATACAATATCTTTCTTCACTAAATGTGTAAGAAACACAGTATAACATCATGAGCAGAGGTCACTGGGCTTGGTGACTTCTCGCTGACGTCTTTGACCTTTACCTTTTGGTGACTAAAGAACGTAAGGTTAGTTCGAATGACCATGCATTGTAATGAGCGGAATATGGCCATTTAATTTTACGAAAGTCATTTTGAACCTCTAATGCTGGCAGCATCAAGGGATGGTAAGAAAAGGTGAGTATGTTACCAAGACTCCGGTTGCGGTCGCACAACTGTTTCATCTGACTTCATTAAGCCTGGTAAGGTCATTTCCAGATGATTTTTATCCACAAACTTGTTTTATAAATCTCTTTTTTAAAAAAAAAAATCTATAAATAGTTATAACAATTAGTATGATTATCTCCAGTTGCAATGTCATATTAAATGAAGAAATTATTTAATTTTGAACAGTATTGCCACGCATTCTGTAGGTAAAAAGCAAGCTTTTTAGGTGTTTTGCACCTGCCGTTAGAACAAACGTTTCAAATAAAAAATTAGCCTTCATTCTAGAGGCCTTAATGGTAAAGCCTGACATGATTTGTTTAGCTTTATTTGGTAAGTTTGATTTGTCCAATGTTACATTGTCTACAACGCTTTAATTTTCTTTATAAGAACAACCGGAACAGAATACAAAATACAGCCAAAACCTTCCTTATGTACGTATACATTCCTTAGAGGTTTCACAACCGTCAAAGCGTCGTGTTTTCAGCTTTCCATCCCTAGACCAAGTCTAAGTTCGTGGTTAAGGTTCCAGAGAAAGTGGAATAGGAAACGCGAAGCCACTCTTTCTACCATACTTGCTCACACACTCACCAAGACGATTCAAAAAAATTAATTTTCAAATGACCTCTACGCTGTCGGAACTTTCATTGGTTTTCACAGCATGAAGGATCATAAATCAGTTTCGTAGCATTAAGTAGAGGCTACGTGTGACACCAGTCACGGGAAAAACTATATCAATGTAAAGATGATGTATTATATAGAGGAACTAACTATTTACAGCTCCCACTAGATGGGATCTGTTAGCCCATCCAGCGCAGGCCATGGGAAATAAAGTCAACACATTGTTTTGGGGCTGACTGGTAAGTACTGAAATATTGGGAGTCCAAAGTCTTAAATTTAAGAAAAAGGACAACACACTCGATAACATAATACTGCCCAGTTTATTCCCTAATTGTTTGTTATCCAAACATTTCTTTTCAAGTTGAAAACATAGTTTCCACTCGTCTGCTTCTAGCTTTGTACTTACATCAAGACAGGAATATCAAAGATTTAATAGTATCATATCAAACCAGAGAGATAATCAATAACAATATAAAATCACAACTTACTTTACACGAGATCTGTACATTAATTTCTAATCATGATAACTACTGATTTGCTGTTTACATTGCCTTCATAGTGGACGGATAAAGAGTGGAATTGTCCAGTAAAGTTCCATACATAAATCTCGAGCTCTTCATCTTGTACCCATTGTGGCTGAGACGCTGGTCCTATCTCTCTCGTAAATTTCACAACATTTGTTGACGTCACTTAATTAACCTACCAATCTTGTTTTGAGCAAGTAAATGTATAACTAGCGATGACGTGAAATGACACAAAAAGCGTCATAATTGCAAAACGTTTTTAAATGTTACTTTCCATGTCTTAAACCTATCTCATATCCCCTCAAAAAAAGATTAATTCGCCAAAGGATCTATAAAGCAACCTGGCCTATCTTACAAGTTGTTTGGTTTACCACTAACCGTACAGTTGAAAAAGAAAGATATTCCATTTCTAACCAACAATTTATCTAGCATCGAGCTTGTTTGCATAAGTGACGTCAAACAATAGTATTTTAATGTTATTTTACAGCACGTTGACGCTGCTTGATCCTCTCACGGACGATCTCTTCAGAACTGCTTCCTCCACCGATTCTTCCTGAGGAAACTTGAATTTGTTGTTGGGACCTTTTCCACGGTTGCCAAATTCCGAGTCCTTATTCTGGTCTCTAAAAGGAAGCTTCTTGGTAGTGGCAGTGGCGGGAGGTGGGGTCGCGGTGGGTGCGCTAGTGGGGCCGGCGGCCGCATCTGTTAAAAACAAGGTCACTTACATTAATAAGAAACAAAGACGAGGAAACGGGTGCTGTGTCAGTTTCAGAGAAACAAATCTGTAATTAATCCGTTCTTCGTACTTTTCATTTAAATTAATGCTTGTAGGTTGTAGATAATATAACAGTATATGATAGACCGAGATTTACGTTGTTATTATATCTGAACAAAAAAAAAGATAGGGTTAGGGTTTACATTGAACTTAACAGTAGACCAACACAGGTGTACTCCTTACAAAGCTTAGTACCTGCGCTTAATGTAAAAAAAACCGTGACCAAAGTAGGTCACCTATTTTTCTGGTCTTTTCAGCAATTACTGTTGCTAAAGTTATCACTAGGTTATCAGTACAGACGTTTGGCTGTGACGGTTGTTATAAAGAGAGAGCCACATACAAGCAGCAAACGAAATAACTAAATGAGCATGAACCAATAAGAATACAGAATAAAAAATAGTGTCCATGGGGAAAAAGAGACGTGTTTGTGCCGAGAAGTAGAAAGAAGAAGGAATGAACCAGATATTAGTCCGGTAAGGGTTTATCCCACCAGCTGAGTCTATCATTAACTAGAAATTGACTAGAATATGCTGCAATGCTTAAAGGAAAATAATTGAAGAACTATGTTACTGCCAAACTCTGATTTTCTCTATATATTATGATCCTTTCGGGTCTAGAGTCCGAAAAAAAAAGCCTGGCTCAAATACTGCTCTTTCCGATTTTCTTTTTTATAATTTTGCAATTAAACTGTTACCAAACCATACTATTTGCCTTCGCACCAAAGGTGAATAGAATTTAACTGGTTCAAGCAATCAATTTTCCATCAATGCAACATTCTATATTATTTTCTTGTATTCTGAAGAGTTAGTGTTTTGTTCGTTTGTTTTTTGTTTGTTTTGTTCAGTCTAAATATGACTAAGGCAAATCAAGTTGTGTGTTCAGAGCTTTAACCGTGCATGAAATGCAAGCCCACGAAGTTTCACACTTTTCGAAAATTCTGCTCTCAGTTATGTAGTAGTTATCATACAGCTCAAATGAATTACGATTGTATTCAGTTGAAGTATTAAACTGATTTTTGATAATAATTGGTTTCGAGTATTGACTTGGACAGCAAATTTTATGATTCTAAAGCCGAGCGTAATCAAGGATGAGATCACGTGCTTCATCAAGAAAATAAGAAAAATGAAAGGTCTGTGTACAGTCAACTCAGCCAGAAGGATTTCCCTACCACGAATTAGCATTCCCCTTGGTTTAGTGCAAACACGTGCCCTGTTTATAAACTTATCCTAACTTGAATGATTGAATATTTAATAATATGTCAATAAAGACTACAGGCTAAAGTAACACTGCCCAGGTTTATTTCCATGCAAGTTGTTTTTGATTCTAAGATTTCTTTCAAAATTGAAAGTATAGGTTTTACTTGTTCCCTTCTGAATACTTACATAAAGTCTGATCCCCAATTAACAAGCGTCAAACAAAATCGTCAACAACAATTATAAATACAGGCTTAATATACAAGCAAATTGTTCATTCAGCTTTAAATCATTACAGCTTTTCATTTGCTGCTTGGATAATTGCCAAGGAAGAGACGGTGAAATCTTCATTACATTTCCTTGAAGGAGTCCTTTCATTTTGGTGCCCGTTAGTGCAAAGTTAGTTCTATTCCGTTTGCTGAATACTAAACAATTGTTGACGTCACTAAGTTATCCCACCGATTTACTTGACGAATTATTACAAAACAAATTACTGCAGGTAAAAACGAAAAAAATTTAATCACAAAGATTTTTGGTTTGTCTGAAGTGACAGAGGCAAGTGCTTTGGAATTGCTGCCATGTGTTATCTTACATTATTTTTTTTTAAGGCAGTCGTACTCCAAAACAAAACTAGTTGAAGACGCCAAACATTGCGGCAAAATAAACATGATGTATCCTACACGTGTCCTTAGACATTTTAAGGCAAACGGTTTTCAAAAGCAAAGAAGTCTTTTATTTTTGGAAAACAAGTGACGTCATATAATCGTATTGGCAACGTAGTTCTACAGTATAATGACGGTGCAAATCTCTAGAGCACTGCTTCCTCCACCGATTCTTCTTGGGGATGATTGAAGCCGTTCCTTGGACCATTTGCGATGTGTCCGAATAGCGCATCATCATTGGAAGGCATGTCTTGCAGGTTTATAGGTTGTTGGATTGGAAAGGGGCCGAGACTGTGACCTTTCAAACAAGACTCATTTAATACGTGCATACAGTTTAACTTCTACAGTCGAGGAACAAAAACTGTTTCTGGCAAGTCTTCGCTGAGACACTCAGAAAGTTTCTGATTTTTTTATCCAATCAAATAACAGCGCATGTATACTCGAGATCAAGTGCACCGAAAGTTTTCACGCCGAAACTGCAGGCCTCAGTGCAGTCTTGCCATCAGCTGTAACTTGTTCCACTCGACTTTCTAAGCGGTAATTATACTAACTTGAGAAAATGAAAGCCCTTCATTTCTGAATTAATAGTCCTGGCGCACATAGATAGACAGATAGATTGGTTTCGTGCGTACCAGAATACGTAACTTTTTAAGCATTATATATAAGTCAAACATGGACTAAATGAGAAACAATACCTGGAAGACACATTTTAGCCAAAGCCTCGATCTCAACCTTGTTCAGAGCATAGTTGTAGATCCTGAATTCATCGATGAATCCCATGAGGGGACGGCCAGCCTTGTGGTCGCCGATTCCAGCGCGTGACATCCAATCCCTCGACAGCAGTCCTCCACCGTTCGTCATGTTACGCAGCTCACCGTTGATGTATATCTTGGAATGGCCAGTGGCTGAATCATAGGTTCCTGCCAAGTGAGCCCATTGATCTAGAAAAGAACAGATAACAAATGAGGTAGAGGCAGTGTTACACCAAGGAGCTTGGCTCACAAGGGTCCATCCGATGCCATGTGCAACATAGAGACCCTGTTGATCATAATCTTGCTTTTTGCTCTAATTTGTGATACTTTGTTGTCTAGCTTCTAGACAAAAACCTCTATTTTGAGAATCCAAGGAGAGTGACAAGTCATATGGTTTGATTTGTCCTTTCCCGCATTAACATTGTACTAATAATTCTAGTGTTCACACTTTTCTAATTGACACTAGAATTACCATAATACTTACTGGGTTGGACTGGTTTTCCCTCAGCGGTGCAGCTGAAAATGATGTGCTGGGTTTCATTCCTGTGGAACCAACGCACGTTACCATAGTTGACCTCAAAATGGAACTGACCGCACTGGTGACTGATGCCAATGGTATCAAAGATAGAACGGCTACCTTCCACGTCCTTCAAGTTGATGAAAGCAGCTATCGTGACTCCCTCTCTGGGTTTGGCCTGAAAGGTGTCCCCGTGGAACAGAATATCNAGTCGTTTTTCAAGGTCCGACGTGAAAATAACGGAGAAAGTGACCGCCATTTTAGTTCCCATAGCAATGCTGTGAGTTTGTACGAAGTGTTTGTCATTAAACTTAAAGGAGTTTTCTTCAAGTATGAGCCGCATTAGTTTCCGTAAATCTTACACGCAAGGGGTAAATATGCAAGGATGTTTGACGCCATTCTTATTCCAGGGCATTCAGTTACTAGCTTTAGAGGCGTCAAGCCTAAGGCGAGAGTCGACGAGTGGCACTGGTGAGTAGGGTTAAGACTCCAGTGTGGTCTCCAGGAAAGACTGGTGCGAATAACTCGTTCAGTCACTCTGCCTTGATTGTTGCCTCCATGCAAAATAAATTCTCATTGCTTTTTTGTTTCGTTTCTTCAGAAACGAGAAGGTGTTTTTGTAGCTTCAGTGGAAAACTATTTATTTTTGAAATAGCACCTCGTTATCTTTTTCGCTATACAATATCTTTCTTCACTAAATGTGTAAGAAACACAGTATAACATCATGAGCAGAGGTCACTGGGCTTGGTGACTTCTCGCTGACGTCTTTGACCTTTACCTTTTGGTGACTAAAGAACGTAAGGTTAGTTCGAATGACCATGCATTGTAATGAGCGGAATATGGCCATTTAATTTTACGAAAGTCATTTTGAACCTCTAATGCTGGCAGCATCAAGGGATGGTAAGAAAAGGTGAGTATGTTACCAAGACTCCGGTTGCGGTCGCACAACTGTTTCATCTGACTTCATTAAGCCTGGTAAGGTCATTTCCAGATGATTTTTATCCACAAACTTGTTTTATAAATCTCTTTTTTAAAAAAAAAAATCTATAAATAGTTATAACAATTAGTATGATTATCTCCAGTTGCAATGTCATATTAAATGAAGAAATTATTTAATTTTGAACAGTATTGCCACGCATTCTGTAGGTAAAAAGCAAGCTTTTTAGGTGTTTTGCACCTGCCGTTAGAACAAACGTTTCAAATAAAAAATTAGCCTTCATTCTAGAGGCCTTAATGGTAAAGCCTGACATGATTTGTTTAGCTTTATTTGGTAAGTTTGATTTGTCCAATGTTACATTGTCTACAACGCTTTAATTTTCTTTATAAGAACAACCGGAACAGAATACAAAATACAGCCAAAACCTTCCTTATGTACGTATACATTCCTTAGAGGTTTCACAACCGTCAAAGCGTCGTGTTTTCAGCTTTCCATCCCTAGACCAAGTCTAAGTTCGTGGTTAAGGTTCCAGAGAAAGTGGAATAGGAAACGCGAAGCCACTCTTTCTACCATACTTGCTCACACACTCACCAAGACGATTCAAAAAAATTAATTTTCAAATGACCTCTACGCTGTCGGAACTTTCATTGGTTTTCACAGCATGAAGGATCATAAATCAGTTTCGTAGCATTAAGTAGAGGCTACGTGTGACACCAGTCACGGGAAAAACTATATCAATGTAAAGATGATGTATTATATAGAGGAACTAACTATTTACAGCTCCCACTAGATGGGATCTGTTAGCCCATCCAGCGCAGGCCATGGGAAATAAAGTCAACACATTGTTTTGGGGCTGACTGGTAAGTACTGAAATATTGGGAGTCCAAAGTCTTAAATTTAAGAAAAAGGACAACACACTCGATAACATAATACTGCCCAGTTTATTCCCTAATTGTTTGTTATCCAAACATTTCTTTTCAAGTTGAAAACATAGTTTCCACTCGTCTGCTTCTAGCTTTGTACTTACATCAAGACAGGAATATCAAAGATTTAATAGTATCATATCAAACCAGAGAGATAATCAATAACAATATAAAATCACAACTTACTTTACACGAGATCTGTACATTAATTTCTAATCATGATAACTACTGATTTGCTGTTTACATTGCCTTCATAGTGGACGGATAAAGAGTGGAATTGTCCAGTAAAGTTCCATACATAAATCTCGAGCTCTTCATCTTGTACCCATTGTGGCTGAGACGCTGGTCCTATCTCTCTCGTAAATTTCACAACATTTGTTGACGTCACTTAATTAACCTACCAATCTTGTTTTGAGCAAGTAAATGTATAACTAGCGATGACGTGAAATGACACAAAAAGCGTCATAATTGCAAAACGTTTTTAAATGTTACTTTCCATGTCTTAAACCTATCTCATATCCCCTCAAAAAAAGATTAATTCGCCAAAGGATCTATAAAGCAACCTGGCCTATCTTACAAGTTGTTTGGTTTACCACTAACCGTACAGTTGAAAAAGAAAGATATTCCATTTCTAACCAACAATTTATCTAGCATCGAGCTTGTTTGCATAAGTGACGTCAAACAATAGTATTTTAATGTTATTTTACAGCACGTTGACGCTGCTTGATCCTCTCACGGACGATCTCTTCAGAACTGCTTCCTCCACCGATTCTTCCTGAGGAAACTTGAATTTGTTGTTGGGACCTTTTCCACGGTTGCCAAATTCCGAGTCCTTATTCTGGTCTCTAAAAGGAAGCTTCTTGGTAGTGGCAGTGGCGGGAGGTGGGGTCGCGGTGGGTGCGCTAGTGGGGCCGGCGGCCGCATCTGTTAAAAACAAGGTCACTTACATTAATAAGAAACAAAGACGAGGAAACGGGTGCTGTGTCAGTTTCAGAGAAACAAATCTGTAATTAATCCGTTCTTCGTACTTTTCATTTAAATTAATGCTTGTAGGTTGTAGATAATATAACAGTATATGATAGACCGAGATTTACGTTGTTATTATATCTGAACAAAAAAAAAGATAGGGTTAGGGTTTACATTGAACTTAACAGTAGACCAACACAGGTGTACTCCTTACAAAGCTTAGTACCTGCGCTTAATGTAAAAAAAACCGTGACCAAAGTAGGTCACCTATTTTTCTGGTCTTTTCAGCAATTACTGTTGCTAAAGTTATCACTAGGTTATCAGTACAGACGTTTGGCTGTGACGGTTGTTATAAAGAGAGAGCCACATACAAGCAGCAAACGAAATAACTAAATGAGCATGAACCAATAAGAATACAGAATAAAAAATAGTGTCCATGGGGAAAAAGAGACGTGTTTGTGCCGAGAAGTAGAAAGAAGAAGGAATGAACCAGATATTAGTCCGGTAAGGGTTTATCCCACCAGCTGAGTCTATCATTAACTAGAAATTGACTAGAATATGCTGCAATGCTTAAAGGAAAATAATTGAAGAACTATGTTACTGCCAAACTCTGATTTTCTCTATATATTATGATCCTTTCGGGTCTAGAGTCCGAAAAAAAAAGCCTGGCTCAAATACTGCTCTTTCCGATTTTCTTTTTTATAATTTTGCAATTAAACTGTTACCAAACCATACTATTTGCCTTCGCACCAAAGGTGAATAGAATTTAACTGGTTCAAGCAATCAATTTTCCATCAATGCAACATTCTATATTATTTTCTTGTATTCTGAAGAGTTAGTGTTTTGTTCGTTTGTTTTTTGTTTGTTTTGTTCAGTCTAAATATGACTAAGGCAAATCAAGTTGTGTGTTCAGAGCTTTAACCGTGCATGAAATGCAAGCCCACGAAGTTTCACACTTTTCGAAAATTCTGCTCTCAGTTATGTAGTAGTTATCATACAGCTCAAATGAATTACGATTGTATTCAGTTGAAGTATTAAACTGATTTTTGATAATAATTGGTTTCGAGTATTGACTTGGACAGCAAATTTTATGATTCTAAAGCCGAGCGTAATCAAGGATGAGATCACGTGCTTCATCAAGAAAATAAGAAAAATGAAAGGTCTGTGTACAGTCAACTCAGCCAGAAGGATTTCCCTACCACGAATTAGCATTCCCCTTGGTTTAGTGCAAACACGTGCCCTGTTTATAAACTTATCCTAACTTGAATGATTGAATATTTAATAATATGTCAATAAAGACTACAGGCTAAAGTAACACTGCCCAGGTTTATTTCCATGCAAGTTGTTTTTGATTCTAAGATTTCTTTCAAAATTGAAAGTATAGGTTTTACTTGTTCCCTTCTGAATACTTACATAAAGTCTGATCCCCAATTAACAAGCGTCAAACAAAATCGTCAACAACAATTATAAATACAGGCTTAATATACAAGCAAATTGTTCATTCAGCTTTAAATCATTACAGCTTTTCATTTGCTGCTTGGATAATTGCCAAGGAAGAGACGGTGAAATCTTCATTACATTTCCTTGAAGGAGTCCTTTCATTTTGGTGCCCGTTAGTGCAAAGTTAGTTCTATTCCGTTTGCTGAATACTAAACAATTGTTGACGTCACTAAGTTATCCCACCGATTTACTTGACGAATTATTACAAAACAAATTACTGCAGGTAAAAACGAAAAAAATTTAATCACAAAGATTTTTGGTTTGTCTGAAGTGACAGAGGCAAGTGCTTTGGAATTGCTGCCATGTGTTATCTTACATTATTTTTTTTTAAGGCAGTCGTACTCCAAAACAAAACTAGTTGAAGACGCCAAACATTGCGGCAAAATAAACATGATGTATCCTACACGTGTCCTTAGACATTTTAAGGCAAACGGTTTTCAAAAGCAAAGAAGTCTTTTATTTTTGGAAAACAAGTGACGTCATATAATCGTATTGGCAACGTAGTTCTACAGTATAATGACGGTGCAAATCTCTAGAGCACTGCTTCCTCCACCGATTCTTCTTGGGGATGATTGAAGCCGTTCCTTGGACCATTTGCGATGTGTCCGAATAGCGCATCATCATTGGAAGGCATGTCTTGCAGGTTTATAGGTTGTTGGATTGGAAAGGGGCCGAGACTGTGACCTTTCAAACAAGACTCATTTAATACGTGCATACAGTTTAACTTCTACAGTCGAGGAACAAAAACTGTTTCTGGCAAGTCTTCGCTGAGACACTCAGAAAGTTTCTGATTTTTTTATCCAATCAAATAACAGCGCATGTATACTCGAGATCAAGTGCACCGAAAGTTTTCACGCCGAAACTGCAGGCCTCAGTGCAGTCTTGCCATCAGCTGTAACTTGTTCCACTCGACTTTCTAAGCGGTAATTATACTAACTTGAGAAAATGAAAGCCCTTCATTTCTGAATTAATAGTCCTGGCGCACATAGATAGACAGATAGATTGGTTTCGTGCGTACCAGAATACGTAACTTTTTAAGCATTATATATAAGTCAAACATGGACTAAATGAGAAACAATACCTGGAAGACACATTTTAGCCAAAGCCTCGATCTCAACCTTGTTCAGAGCATAGTTGTAGATCCTGAATTCATCGATGAATCCCATGAGGGGACGGCCAGCCTTGTGGTCGCCGATTCCAGCGCGTGACATCCAATCCCTCGACAGCAGTCCTCCACCGTTCGTCATGTTACGCAGCTCACCGTTGATGTATATCTTGGAATGGCCAGTGGCTGAATCATAGGTTCCTGCCAAGTGAGCCCATTGATCTAGAAAAGAACAGATAACAAATGAGGTAGAGGCAGTGTTACACCAAGGAGCTTGGCTCACAAGGGTCCATCCGATGCCATGTGCAACATAGAGACCCTGTTGATCATAATCTTGCTTTTTGCTCTAATTTGTGATACTTTGTTGTCTAGCTTCTAGACAAAAACCTCTATTTTGAGAATCCAAGGAGAGTGACAAGTCATATGGTTTGATTTGTCCTTTCCCGCATTAACATTGTACTAATAATTCTAGTGTTCACACTTTTCTAATTGACACTAGAATTACCATAATACTTACTGGGTTGGACTGGTTTTCCCTCAGCGGTGCAGCTGAAAATGATGTGCTGGGTTTCATTCCTGTGGAACCAACGCACGTTACCATAGTTGACCTCAAAATGGAACTGACCGCACTGGTGACTGATGCCAATGGTATCAAAGATAGAACGGCTACCTTCCACGTCCTTCAAGTTGATGAAAGCAGCTATCGTGACTCCCTCTCTGGGTTTGGCCTGAAAGGTGTCCCCGTGGAACAGAATATCACCACAGTAGGTATAAGCTGCATTTCCACATTTGCTTTGAGGAAAGTTCACAACGATGGCCCCGTCCTGCATGATGCCATTGTTAGCGTAGCCCGAAGAATCCTCAATTACGGCTCCTTTGGTGCCATTAAACTGCAAATGTTCTACGAGGCGCTCTTTCACAGCAAAGAAAAACGTTTTTGTCCCATTAGTAACTCATTCAAAGTAAACAGTATTGCTCTAGCTAGCAACTGAGCTAGTAAAATCACTGAGCATGCATGCCAATAGATAAGTCTTAATTTAGCCCGTGATAATCGGTAGGAATGAATGCAAAAGAAGTTTACTTACTGTCGATACCCATGTCATTTGAAGCTGGGTTGTCGCCCACCACCATTGGAATTCCTTGCTTTTTAGAAAGAAACTGGCCTGGTTTGGGATGCCGACATGAGGCCAGTGCACCTATGATGAAATGCATAATCAAAATGAACCACGAAAACATCACATTCAATTCTGGAACAAAGACTGTTGCTTGTAATCACACTCGTGAAGTTCCATAACTGTGTCCTTACTCATTTAGGCAAAATCGAGAACATCGGCTGAAGAGTTTGCAGTTCCTCAGTTTTTTCTCCAAGTGAGGAAGTTCTTGGAAAAAACGAGATCCCGGTTCAGCTTGCGTATTAAGGTGAAGACGGATAGTATCTAAGCAGTTCCTTCTCACTTCTGATTTTCTGATATTTTTCTTCCTTATGGCTTTTTCAGTGGTTTGAGATCGTGCAGTCAGTAAAAATCTGCCGTTGCTTCTAGTAAGGCCTGCAGACTTACCTCCTTCTTGTCAATTTTTACGAAAGGTACAGGACACAGGTGACAGGAAGAGGGGAAACCGGGAGAGACCAAATCAAAAGTTTTATGTTTTGCCATACTGCTGTTAACTTTTCTGCTTCTTTTATTTCAGGTTTTTTTGTGTATTATAAACTTGTCTGAAAAACTCAACAGACAGTCAGAATTCTTTACCAGTTGTTTCTTGGTGATACAATCGTGCCATTTAGTTAAATTTCAACGCTTACACAACGACTCCTTGAAAAGGTGTAATAAAAAGCTGACAAACATATCATAAGCACGTGATCAAGACCAGTGAAGGTCAGCAGTCTTGACCATTACATCACGGAGCGTGTTATTAGAAGCAGGTAACGGTATTGTTTAGAAAACATGAAATCACTCGCCAATGATTCTGGTTTGTTTACTGCAAATATCGTGTCTACTTGTGAATCCAGCAGTAAAATGTTACAAAAATAATTTCTCTGTTGTGAAAATAACCCCACTTTGAGGGAAGCTTTCTAATTGCTGCAAATAAAAATACGTCTACAATTTGTTTGTTTTTTTTTTTAAATGTCCAGAGAGCCAGCTAAAAGGAATCCTGTCAAGTATATATGATCCTCGTGGTTCAATTACTAACCCACTAAAATGCATCGAAATATTCTAAGAGATAAATTTTAAGCAATATCCTAGCATCTAAACTTCAAAATGGGTTGTAAAACTGTAAAATTGCAAGTTTTTAAGGAAAAAGTCTTTTCGGGGACGTACGAATTACGCGACGATAAAAAGTCACCCATGAGCCTCGAGTTAGTGAACATGATAATAAGTACTGGCATAGTCGTTCTTTTTGGCTGAATCGTAGCTGGAATGGAAATTCTAAGGCCAGACTTAAGTCAATTACGGTTCCGTAGGTTGATAATACCATCCTAAGTTATTTCGCTTAAGCCGGCTCCGAGGCTTCCAAAACAGAATACACCCGTTCGTAGCTCAAAGAACAATTACAAAGCCATTCTATGATATAAACATTTTATGTTTTAGTTACGCCTCTAATGGAGGTTGTAAAGGAAAACAGGGAACGAGAGGAAACTTCTATCGCACGATCTTTAACGCTTACAACCTAATTAAATTCTTTGAACTCTGCGCAACGTGCAGGTATTTAGATTTCGTGAAAATTACGTCTTTTACTGCGATCTAAAAGTCCTTGAGGTATATTTCAGGAAGAAAGCAAATAGTTTTTATAAATAATATTATTACAGTTAAGGAAAAGTATACAATATATAAAGCCGCAAGGGGATTTGCTAAACAATGCTTTTATTAATTTAGGCTCTATACCTACCATACTCTCATTAGCCAGAAATGATATCTTACCTCGTTGGGGCTCGGTGGCTAAGAGTTTGTTAAACTATAAAATTTTGGAAAAGAATCTAGCTAAGTAAACCGATGAAACTAGAAATAAATAAATGCTAGATAAATACCATTGGCATTTCTTCCAGATTTCTATTCTCATGAACAAACCAAATTCCAAACATTAAGATGATAAAATGGTTTCTCAATAGGTAACTGAGATTTGCGTGGTAAAACGTCTTCGTCTCAACAAACTTCTAGACCAGCATATGTTGTTATTTTATTACAAGATATTCATAACCGGAAAATTTGAAATGAGTGTGCCAATCTTCAAGGAATATAATCACAGTAAATCACTATATTACTTACCGCTTATGGTTAAGGCTAAAACGAAGACAAGTCTTTCCATCCTTCCTACAAAAAGAAAGAAATTTCAAAATTGTATCGATCAGACAGACAAATGTTTTGCCTTTTACAGGAAAACAAAACTTAATTACCAACGGGTGAAATACACGAACGGAAATCAAAATTGTTATGAAGAATTAACATAAATATTGACTAACAATAGCCCGTCTGCGTTCGTCCTATAAACGCGGTATAAGCACGCTGCTCCGACGTATCGAATACAAGGGTTGATACCTGCCTTCGTACGATGTTTGGAGTGCGAGGGGTTAAGTACGATTTGCAGTTACGTCAGTTGAAAATCCTTGTTTCTATAACCACGAAGGTTTCCACAAAGAACAACACGGTTGCTTGTAACAGGTAGAAGACAGGTTGAAATCAAAACCTACCGCAAGTCATCTCGTGCGGAAATATACAACGACAGAACGCGGACAATCCCTAGTGATTCTTACCTTGAAAAACAACCAAACCCCAAAAAAGTCCTTGTCGAACTTTGTCGGCTGATCCAAAATGGTTTTCAAGTTTCTGATTTCCTTATTTTGACGTGTCTTATCTGGGAGTCTTATTTAATCAACTACACATTCCAAACTCATGACCCCGGCATTCTCTCACTTACCTTGCATGAATATTTCAGAGCAAATGTCAAGAAAGGTGTCGTTTGCGGGAACGGGAAAATCTACTCGGAAAATCTCCACAAATAATGAAGAAAAGAGCAATTAAGTTTACGCAGCGAGTATTTAGCGACTTAAGTTTTGCTTTGCTATCTTTGGGGTATGTGTTGGCGGTAAGGTCAGAAATTATTCCCTGCAGGTTCAGCCACCCAGCAATTTTCTCACTGACTAACAAGGGGCGACAGATTGTTGACACCACCAGTCAAAATCCTCTTTATGAAGTATCTGCCTTTGTTCTTTTTTTATTAAACCAATGAGAAACACTACAATGGCGGAACTGCAACTGTGCGGGTCTTACTAAAGCGTAGAAAAGAAAACAAACCGTTTGCATGACAAAAAAGAAAAAACGTGGTGCCTTAAGCTTTTCCTTTGATTTTTTGGACAGCAAAGACCAGCTACGACTATTAATTTTTCAAACGTTTTCCAATGTGTTTTTCTATTTCATTTCTTTCTTTTTACGCGCCTTCAGCAAAAAAATCTCTTGATTGCCTTATCTTGAACTCTAGAGTAGGCTACTGCGAATTTGCACAAAATCAACCAGCTACAAACGAAATCACTGATCGCTCAGTGACTCTAAACAGGTTGTTTACAATATGAGCAGGTAGGTCATGAACCGAACCGCTCGCAGTTCTTTCATTAATTTAAGTTTTCATTTTCCATGTCAATGTGTTCAAATACCATTGTTTGTATTAGTTTTGTGACTTGACACAGTGGAAGGCGGGAATTCTCAACAGTTCATAACGGAATATGTCCCTGGGTTTTGTAGCCCCAGGATTGTATATTTAGCCGTTGAAATCTGTTCCAAAAGTCGAAATTTGAAAATCACTGAAATGGAATATTGATCTGGTCTGTAAAATGAAATACTGACAATTGAACTTTGACTGATAGAGGATAGGTTATGGAGAGGGAGTTTGTTTCTCGGTGTGTAAGTTATTGGTAGATTGCTTCATTAAGCAATGAATGACAACTTCTGCGCCCGCGACATGTACTGCTCTTTCAGTGTGACAGTCTGTCGTGTTGCCCGCGATGTTATAACTTTTCCTTTCTTCCTCTCAGTTCTACTTGGCACCTTTCTGTTTCTCTTTTTTCATCAATTGACGCTATCGTATAAATGTAAAAAAAAATACCAAACTAGACTACCAAACTTAGATGTTGGTCTCCATCCTTTCAGTTCGACCATGATCATAGTCTCTTGGTGCAATCGATTGCGCTTAGTCGCAGGCCTGGTCGCTAATTAAACTCCCATGGCTGCGACTCGAGATCAGACACTGTCAACTCTGTAGCATTGAAGCATTGCAACTTTCAGTAGTTTGGTAGCCGGGAAGCAATGATCGTATGTCAAAAGGCCAATCATGGCGAGTTTTGGTCAAACCTGGCCAAATTATGACTGAGTATTTTCTTCTGTACAAGAAATTCCGATTACCATGCGCCATTAAAAAAGAAAAGTGTCAGAGGCATTTGTGCCTCTTGCATGAATTACGACACAACGGCACTGAAAAAACTAGTGTTTCAAAGAGACAGACGTACGAATATTATCTCAAAGTTCCCAATAGGTTCAAACTGGACCTCTTACATGAAATTCAGGAATAAAGTGAATATCGAAATTAAAACCGCCAAAAATGACTCCTGCCAAAATTCAATATTACAACTCTTTTTTTTTTTTTTTCAAAGAAACCCTAGAAACATTAAGCATGTTTGGCGATCGAGAAAGCAACGGGTTGATGGGAAATGAATCCAGATCCACTAAATAACTAAAATTAAAGAAGGATTAAAGGATTAAAGATATCAGTAACATTTGTAAAGGGAAATTTTTATAAAACGGGACCCTCTTAACCTGTCAGATGTAAGACACGCCCTCTTAATATACTGCATGATTACATTACCCCAATGGAGCAGACTGAGGCAACGTGCCAGGAGACATCATTTAGGGGATACCGTGTAATGAAGCAGCTGGTCTTGCTAATATTTCTGCTCGTTTGCTGGAGGGGGCTGTGCACACCCATAATTACTTTTAGCTTAACTTTTAGAATAAATTTCTCGACTACCACAGGAATATTTTCACAAGCCTGGAAATTGGCTCGAGTCTCCATTATATTCAAAGATGGTGTGAGAACCAATCCTGATACAATACATTTTATATTCCAGACTTACACTCTCAGTACCAGTTGTAAGTAAATTAATTGAGAGAGTGACTTTTAAGCGCCTTTACAATAAATACCTAAGTTGCTAAATATTCTACAGTCCGGATTTGGGCCTGTATTTTCCACGAAAAGTTTACTCAGTTGAGACCACGTCACAAACCAAAGGCTTTGGAATATCAACTAAGGCCTACTAAATGAAATATTATTTTCAGTTCTGAAAAAGTCTTTGAGACCGTGGACCATGGTTCTGTTGGAAAAGCTCAGACTCTTTGGTATCAATACTCTTTGGTAACACAAAATAATGCGAAATGATAAATCACATTCTCTTTTTTTTTTTTCTTATTTTATTGTTTATTTATCTGCTGGCTCACTAAACAAATACAAGAATTGTGTCAGCTTTTTATTTAACGGATTATTGATAATTCTACTCCGAAGTAGGTATATGCTTTAAGTGCAGGAGTTCCTCGATCTGCACAACGCTCTTGCATAATATTAATAAATTACACCAGAAAGCTTTTGCCACTGATCCTCAGCTCAGCTAAGCATGTTAAATTTATGCTGTCTTTATAGACTATTTAAAGATCAGTTTTTCATTCACGCTCGACTGCTAGGGAATCCCATATGAATGCAACGGGAATTAGGGACGACCAGCGCGTGCGCTATGTTATAAAGCATTTTAGTATATGGATATTTTTTTTATGTAATCAGTCTTGAATTAATTGTCATATGTAAGCTTAATCACACGTTCCCCGGTGTTAGTTACTACATCCTTTTGTTTCGCCATTTTCATGTTCTTTAAGCGTGATGTGGCGCTGTGTTTTATTGTTGAACTTGCTCGGAGACGGCAGCCATCGTTTCCTGTTGTCAATGTCCAGTTTAAAATTCTCATTGTTTCACATCTGATGTTCATCTTCGCCGCCAGCCTCCTCATAATTCTTGCTGCAGCTCCGTTTCGACAAAGCATACTCGCTCCTCAGGACAGAAGGAACCGTCTGGTGGCGCGAAGACGAAGAACTTGCCACTCTTTGGGGAAGGAAAGCCGAGAACTTCGAACAGCAGCATCTGGCAAGCACCCTTTTAAACCCCTGGCGGTAATTCTCACTGAAAATGGCGTAAACCGCTGGATTGAGAGCGCAGCTGGCGCGCATGAGTATCTCACACGCAAAGTAAAGCGATTCAGAAACGACAGCGTTTTGGAAGAAAAACATGAACGTAGCGATCTGCAATGGTAACCAGGATACGATAAACACCACTACTACCGCGATGAGCATTTTCACGACCTTCCTCCGTGAATTGCGCCGCTTCAATAAATTTTTCGATTCTTCCCTCTCTGTTTCCCCAGGAGGCTTTATGTACCACAGATGACGACAGATCACCGTGTACAATACAGTTATTACGCAGATGGGAAGACAAAACATTACGAAGAACAAAATCAGCGTGTAGTTTTTACTCGCTGTTTCATTGTCAAACGCTGGTTCCCAGATCTCGTAGCAGGTCAAGCTCCCGTCCTCGTCTTCAACCACTCGTAACACCCACAGCAACGGTGTTGCCACGGCGACAGAAGTCACCCAGATGACGGCTATAATCCAGTTGAAGACACGTTTGTTGATTATGCGCTTCAGTGGCATCAAGATGGCGAAGAATCGATCAAAAGCTATTGCAGCTAGAGTGAGAACTGAAACAGGAACAAGCATGAACTGACCGAAGTTCACAACTTGACAGAAGAAGATTTCGAGACCGCGGCTACTCATGGCCCAGCTGTATCCTTCAAATATCATAACGAACAAAGGAGGCGTAGCAACTAAGGTGTAGAGTATGTCTGCGCAGGCCATGTTCACGATCAGGTAATTTGTTACAGTGCGCATGCGCAGACTTTGCAGGACGACGCAGATCACTAAGGAGTTTCCGAAGAACGAGCCAATCATAACCAGTATGGTGGCGAGTGTCTTTATGATCTGAATTGGCACATTTAATGGCGCTGTTTCCCATGTACCGTCAGAGACATTTTGAGACATCACACTTGAGTCATTCATTTCCCTCCTGTAACAAAAACATTTGGTAAAAATGTCATATATTTCAAACTTTATATTTCTATTAGGAGGATTACCCTACCTGTTTCCTTCGCTGTATGATTTTAACTTGCAACTCGAAAAGCAAACCGTTCTAAAGTAGTTAGTTGTTGTATTTGCCCCTTTTATAGTTTAATCATCTTCTGAGATGACATGTTTCGACAGTCGATCGCCTGATTTACTGTTTCAGACCTTGAAAACGCCCATTATATGATGGCAAAGATAACGTCTCAACAAACTTCTAGACCAGCATATGTTGTTATTTTATTACAAGATATTCATAACCGGAAAATTTGAAATGAGTGTGCCAATCTTCAAGGAATATAATCACAGTAAATCACTATATTACTTACCGCTTATGGTTAAGGCTAAAACGAAGACAAGTCTTTCCATCCTTCCTACAAAAAGAAAGAAATTTCAAAATTGTATCGATCAGACAGACAAATGTTTTGCCTTTTACAGGAAAACAAAACTTAATTACCAACGGGTGAAATACACGAACGGAAATCAAAATTGTTATGAAGAATTAACATAAATATTGACTAACAATAGCCCGTCTGCGTTCGTCCTATAAACGCGGTATAAGCACGCTGCTCCGACGTATCGAATACAAGGGTTGATACCTGCCTTCGTACGATGTTTGGAGTGCGAGGGGTTAAGTACGATTTGCAGTTACGTCAGTTGAAAATCCTTGTTTCTATAACCACGAAGGTTTCCACAAAGAACAACACGGTTGCTTGTAACAGGTAGAAGACAGGTTGAAATCAAAACCTACCGCAAGTCATCTCGTGCGGAAATATACAACGACAGAACGCGGACAATCCCTAGTGATTCTTACCTTGAAAAACAACCAAACCCCAAAAAAGTCCTTGTCGAACTTTGTCGGCTGATCCAAAATGGTTTTCAAGTTTCTGATTTCCTTATTTTGACGTGTCTTATCTGGGAGTCTTATTTAATCAACTACACATTCCAAACTCATGACCCCGGCATTCTCTCACTTACCTTGCATGAATATTTCAGAGCAAATGTCAAGAAAGGTGTCGTTTGCGGGAACGGGAAAATCTACTCGGAAAATCTCCACAAATAATGAAGAAAAGAGCAATTAAGTTTACGCAGCGAGTATTTAGCGACTTAAGTTTTGCTTTGCTATCTTTGGGGTATGTGTTGGCGGTAAGGTCAGAAATTATTCCCTGCAGGTTCAGCCACCCAGCAATTTTCTCACTGACTAACAAGGGGCGACAGATTGTTGACACCACCAGTCAAAATCCTCTTTATGAAGTATCTGCCTTTGTTCTTTTTTTATTAAACCAATGAGAAACACTACAATGGCGGAACTGCAACTGTGCGGGTCTTACTAAAGCGTAGAAAAGAAAACAAACCGTTTGCATGACAAAAAAGAAAAAACGTGGTGCCTTAAGCTTTTCCTTTGATTTTTTGGACAGCAAAGACCAGCTACGACTATTAATTTTTCAAACGTTTTCCAATGTGTTTTTCTATTTCATTTCTTTCTTTTTACGCGCCTTCAGCAAAAAAATCTCTTGATTGCCTTATCTTGAACTCTAGAGTAGGCTACTGCGAATTTGCACAAAATCAACCAGCTACAAACGAAATCACTGATCGCTCAGTGACTCTAAACAGGTTGTTTACAATATGAGCAGGTAGGTCATGAACCGAACCGCTCGCAGTTCTTTCATTAATTTAAGTTTTCATTTTCCATGTCAATGTGTTCAAATACCATTGTTTGTATTAGTTTTGTGACTTGACACAGTGGAAGGCGGGAATTCTCAACAGTTCATAACGGAATATGTCCCTGGGTTTTGTAGCCCCAGGATTGTATATTTAGCCGTTGAAATCTGTTCCAAAAGTCGAAATTTGAAAATCACTGAAATGGAATATTGATCTGGTCTGTAAAATGAAATACTGACAATTGAACTTTGACTGATAGAGGATAGGTTATGGAGAGGGAGTTTGTTTCTCGGTGTGTAAGTTATTGGTAGATTGCTTCATTAAGCAATGAATGACAACTTCTGCGCCCGCGACATGTACTGCTCTTTCAGTGTGACAGTCTGTCGTGTTGCCCGCGATGTTATAACTTTTCCTTTCTTCCTCTCAGTTCTACTTGGCACCTTTCTGTTTCTCTTTTTTCATCAATTGACGCTATCGTATAAATGTAAAAAAAAATACCAAACTAGACTACCAAACTTAGATGTTGGTCTCCATCCTTTCAGTTCGACCATGATCATAGTCTCTTGGTGCAATCGATTGCGCTTAGTCGCAGGCCTGGTCGCTAATTAAACTCCCATGGCTGCGACTCGAGATCAGACACTGTCAACTCTGTAGCATTGAAGCATTGCAACTTTCAGTAGTTTGGTAGCCGGGAAGCAATGATCGTATGTCAAAAGGCCAATCATGGCGAGTTTTGGTCAAACCTGGCCAAATTATGACTGAGTATTTTCTTCTGTACAAGAAATTCCGATTACCATGCGCCATTAAAAAAGAAAAGTGTCAGAGGCATTTGTGCCTCTTGCATGAATTACGACACAACGGCACTGAAAAAACTAGTGTTTCAAAGAGACAGACGTACGAATATTATCTCAAAGTTCCCAATAGGTTCAAACTGGACCTCTTACATGAAATTCAGGAATAAAGTGAATATCGAAATTAAAACCGCCAAAAATGACTCCTGCCAAAATTCAATATTACAACTCTTTTTTTTTTTTTTTCAAAGAAACCCTAGAAACATTAAGCATGTTTGGCGATCGAGAAAGCAACGGGTTGATGGGAAATGAATCCAGATCCACTAAATAACTAAAATTAAAGAAGGATTAAAGGATTAAAGATATCAGTAACATTTGTAAAGGGAAATTTTTATAAAACGGGACCCTCTTAACCTGTCAGATGTAAGACACGCCCTCTTAATATACTGCATGATTACATTACCCCAATGGAGCAGACTGAGGCAACGTGCCAGGAGACATCATTTAGGGGATACCGTGTAATGAAGCAGCTGGTCTTGCTAATATTTCTGCTCGTTTGCTGGAGGGGGCTGTGCACACCCATAATTACTTTTAGCTTAACTTTTAGAATAAATTTCTCGACTACCACAGGAATATTTTCACAAGCCTGGAAATTGGCTCGAGTCTCCATTATATTCAAAGATGGTGTGAGAACCAATCCTGATACAATACATTTTATATTCCAGACTTACACTCTCAGTACCAGTTGTAAGTAAATTAATTGAGAGAGTGACTTTTAAGCGCCTTTACAATAAATACCTAAGTTGCTAAATATTCTACAGTCCGGATTTGGGCCTGTATTTTCCACGAAAAGTTTACTCAGTTGAGACCACGTCACAAACCAAAGGCTTTGGAATATCAACTAAGGCCTACTAAATGAAATATTATTTTCAGTTCTGAAAAAGTCTTTGAGACCGTGGACCATGGTTCTGTTGGAAAAGCTCAGACTCTTTGGTATCAATACTCTTTGGTAACACAAAATAATGCGAAATGATAAATCACATTCTCTTTTTTTTTTTTTCTTATTTTATTGTTTATTTATCTGCTGGCTCACTAAACAAATACAAGAATTGTGTCAGCTTTTTATTTAACGGATTATTGATAATTCTACTCCGAAGTAGGTATATGCTTTAAGTGCAGGAGTTCCTCGATCTGCACAACGCTCTTGCATAATATTAATAAATTACACCAGAAAGCTTTTGCCACTGATCCTCAGCTCAGCTAAGCATGTTAAATTTATGCTGTCTTTATAGACTATTTAAAGATCAGTTTTTCATTCACGCTCGACTGCTAGGGAATCCCATATGAATGCAACGGGAATTAGGGACGACCAGCGCGTGCGCTATGTTATAAAGCATTTTAGTATATGGATATTTTTTTTATGTAATCAGTCTTGAATTAATTGTCATATGTAAGCTTAATCACACGTTCCCCGGTGTTAGTTACTACATCCTTTTGTTTCGCCATTTTCATGTTCTTTAAGCGTGATGTGGCGCTGTGTTTTATTGTTGAACTTGCTCGGAGACGGCAGCCATCGTTTCCTGTTGTCAATGTCCAGTTTAAAATTCTCATTGTTTCACATCTGATGTTCATCTTCGCCGCCAGCCTCCTCATAATTCTTGCTGCAGCTCCGTTTCGACAAAGCATACTCGCTCCTCAGGACAGAAGGAACCGTCTGGTGGCGCGAAGACGAAGAACTTGCCACTCTTTGGGGAAGGAAAGCCGAGAACTTCGAACAGCAGCATCTGGCAAGCACCCTTTTAAACCCCTGGCGGTAATTCTCACTGAAAATGGCGTAAACCGCTGGATTGAGAGCGCAGCTGGCGCGCATGAGTATCTCACACGCAAAGTAAAGCGATTCAGAAACGACAGCGTTTTGGAAGAAAAACATGAACGTAGCGATCTGCAATGGTAACCAGGATACGATAAACACCACTACTACCGCGATGAGCATTTTCACGACCTTCCTCCGTGAATTGCGCCGCTTCAATAAATTTTTCGATTCTTCCCTCTCTGTTTCCCCAGGAGGCTTTATGTACCACAGATGACGACAGATCACCGTGTACAATACAGTTATTACGCAGATGGGAAGACAAAACATTACGAAGAACAAAATCAGCGTGTAGTTTTTACTCGCTGTTTCATTGTCAAACGCTGGTTCCCAGATCTCGTAGCAGGTCAAGCTCCCGTCCTCGTCTTCAACCACTCGTAACACCCACAGCAACGGTGTTGCCACGGCGACAGAAGTCACCCAGATGACGGCTATAATCCAGTTGAAGACACGTTTGTTGATTATGCGCTTCAGTGGCATCAAGATGGCGAAGAATCGATCAAAAGCTATTGCAGCTAGAGTGAGAACTGAAACAGGAACAAGCATGAACTGACCGAAGTTCACAACTTGACAGAAGAAGATTTCGAGACCGCGGCTACTCATGGCCCAGCTGTATCCTTCAAATATCATAACGAACAAAGGAGGCGTAGCAACTAAGGTGTAGAGTATGTCTGCGCAGGCCATGTTCACGATCAGGTAATTTGTTACAGTGCGCATGCGCAGACTTTGCAGGACGACGCAGATCACTAAGGAGTTTCCGAAGAACGA